CGGGGCGCGCTGCGGGGCGGTTTGGCAACCGGGTAGGCCGGTGCGGCTTCCTCGGGAGGCGGAGTGCGTCTTGACAGCCGCCTGCGGGGGAAGGGCCCGTCACCCCCCGGTCCCCGTCCCGGCGTGTTGCCGAACGCCGCGGCGACCGGGGGAGCGGGGCGGGAGGCACCCGGGTCTCCCTCCTCGTCTCCTTGCCGCAGGCTGAGGCCTCCCCACAGCTACTGCTCCTCGGTGTCGGGGCCGAGAAACGTTAAGCTCCAGCTTGGGAACGTTGGTCCTGAAATTACTCTTTGTTACCTTAAACAAAATCCACAAAACAGTAATTGTCAGAGGCTGTGTTGGTGTAAAAGGCTAGCCACGGGTTGTGTTTGCTTAGGAGTGGTGTAGGTCAGTGCTTGATTTGGAGCCATAAGCTGAATTTCAGTTTTCCCCCCCAAAGTGGAGTTTCCAGTGCCGCAGCTCCGGTGTTTTTCATGTCCCGCTGTCTGGATCGCTGTGGTGCCAATTCCTGCAGTGGGGATGGCGCAGTTTTGACAGCCTCACTTTTGGTTGCGCAGAAAGAAGGTTCTGCAGAATTAAAAGTTCCTGAATGCTGGACTTGCCAGATTATCGGAGATGGAGCAACTTCCCTGGAACATACACCTGCCCACCATACACAGTTATACACGAAAATAGTAAAGCACAGTTCTTAAAGCTTTTGTACTTATCAGCTTGTCAGAACTAAGTAAGAGCAATTATCCAAGGAATAGACATTTGTACTGATCACACACATACAGAATCTTGGCTCTTTCACGCCTGCATATGGCCAGGACTACTCAAGAGTGTCAAATCCATACCATTAATTCAGACTTTTACCTACAGCATAATTGCTTTAACATGAGGGGGTTTTTGCAGGCATAAAATTTCTTCTTTTTCATTTTAATGAAAGTTGTATTTCCGTATGACTAAGAGTTCTTAACAGGGTTTAGTTTCAGCTCTTTTGCATTTCTTGCAAATTGTTTTCTGTTGTTTTGATAATATGATTTGACAAACAGGTTTATTGCATTAATTCCACATACCTTTAGTGGTATTTTAAAACAATATTACTCATGCTTAATTTGTAAATCATGTTGCCCTCTGTGTAATTAATTCAGTCATAAAAAAAGAAGCAGGTACGTAGGAGTACATAAAATCTCAAAACTCTGATTGAAATACCCCCACCCCCCCAAAAAACCCAGAACTTTAATTTAAAAACTGTGTTTCTGTTAATATAATTCAAATTAATCAACCTTTTCAGAGACAATAAACTCTAAAAGAAGAAAAGAAAATTTTAAGTTACCTTGAAATAATAACTGTTCCAAGATTTTCTTGACAAACTGGGTTCTCAGCCTTGTGGGAGTATGATGTACTTGAAAAAGAGTTGAGTAACCCATCACACAAGATGAAGTTATCTCATTTAAAATTAGGTCTGAGGTGTAAATGTGTCTGTCATGTCAGATAATCTGAGAATAATAGAGAAATATTTAAGGTAGAAGTTGTGTATTTGCATTACTGTGTGGATGCCAATCCAACAAAATGCTGTAAAAATATCAATAATTCACACTGCCTTGTATTCTACTAATCAAGAAGCTGAAGTGACTTCAAACTATTAAGCAAGTTCATGAGCATATTTTTATTCAACTATTTTTGTATTTAAAAAAGACGTGAATGTTTACCTGTAGTCAGCATTTCAGCTTTTTAAAAAATACATCCTGCTTTGCACTGCAAGCAGTCAGTTAAACAGAATGATTTACTGTCCTTCCCCTGTCGTGTCTATGTAATGATACTTCTCTACGTCTGTTTACTGCCCACTTTCACTTAAGTAGCAGCTTAGGGAAAGTAGACGTCACAGTGCTGGACAGCCCTGTTCAAGGTTATGACAAAAAAAAATCAATCTATGAAGAGTATAAGAAGTTATTCATATTTTGTTTATTTAGCTTTAGATCAAATCTCAGACTCTCTTTCTTACTTGGTAAGTTGCAGCAGAATGCAGAACCATTTGAGATTACAGTTCAGTGAATAAATTCATTACATTCGAATCTACAGTGCAGATTGCTTGTTCCGCAGCAGATGGGCAGTGGTTTAACACTGCTGCACCTCAAATAGGAATGCAAATGTTGATTCCTGTTAGAAAAAAAATAGAGAATGAAAATAATCTTTATGTAATAACCAAAGACAAAAAGCCAAACCAGAATTTTTTTTCCAGTAATGATGTTGGCTTATCATATCTGAGTTTTTAAGCAAAATAATGCCATGAATTTTGTGGTTTTGCAAGGAATGCAGAGTGCTCTCTTGTTCGTTATTTCCACAGCCTACCATGCTAGCAGGGAATAGTTCATTTTATAGATAGGTGGTGTTCTAAGCTCTAGGTTAAAATAAAGGAAGTTCCACAACTGGGGAACCTGTAGGGATGGAGATGACCCCCAAGAGACGTGTGGAGGAAGGCTGGGGGTGGGCAGAGCTGGCCAGGGACAGCAGGTTGCAGGAGGCTCGCTCGCTTGCCCTGGGAAGAGAGTGTGACACTGTGAACACACAGCCCGAGAAAGAAACCGGAGGAATTAGACATATCTCACAGTTGCAGAGCTGTGACCTCTTTGGGATCACAGCGACAGGGTGGCATAGCTCACGATGAGTGCTGTGATGGAAGGATTCAAGCTGTTCTGGAAAAGCAGGCAGGGAAATGAATGCAAGTTGTGTTCTACACCAACAAGCATCTCTTTGCCTGGAGCTTTCCACCGCTTTGGAGTGAGCAATGAGCCAACTGAGATCTGGGGGGTCAGGATTGGTGGGGAGACCAGCATGGGGGGCATCGCAGGGACACCTGCTATAATCTGCCTGGTCAGGAAGAGGAAGCAGAGGAAGCCTTAAATAACTAGAAGCAAGCTCACAATTGTAGGCCCAGGCTTTTTCTGGGAATGTAGAATCATAGAATGTCCTGAGTTGGAAGGGACCCACAGGGATCATCGAGTCCAACTCCTGTCCCTGCATAGGACAACCCCAAAATTCACACCATATGGCTGAGGGTGTTGTCGAA